TAGGATAAATCTCCCCAGACTTATCCAACGGCTGTGAATATTTAAAACTAACACGAGTCTCTATAAGTGTCCAGTTTTAGGGTCTTACACAGAATTAAACCAAACAATATAAATCAAACATGCACTTTATTTATTTCCACTAAATAACAAAAGTACATCAAATCGGATTGAAGGTAAGGGCATACAAAACTGTCTAACAAAGACATGGGAAGGATGTTTTTCCGCCCTATCAGGGATGCAACAACAACAACAATAGTAGTAGTGGCAACACCAGCGAGATTAGGCCACTAGGCAGAATGCCAGCTAAAACTAGAACCAATAGTTTGGTGACTAGAATCAGAACCTGGTGCCTGACCCACCTTGTCGCTTCGGTGACCAGAACCTGGTCCCGATCGGGGAACTGGGCTGAGCCATAACCCTGATCAAGAATGAAGCCACTAGTTCGACTGAAGGGTCTCGAAGAAGGTATCGCAGGCGTGCACACCGCAACAAAGGAAGGAGTCACCTCGCTATGACAACGAGGAGGCAGAAAGGAAAGAGGAAGGAAAAAAGGAGGTGAGTTAGATCGGCGCCTCGTCAACATAGATGTGTGTCCCGAACTTCACCATTGGCTATTGAGATCCTCATGGCTCCACAACCGAAAGATTTCAAGGCCCCTAGTCTGGAATTCTACAACGGGACAACCAACCCAGTAGACCACCTTGACAACTTCCATGCCCTTATGTAGCTATTCGGAGCAAATGATGCAAGCCTTTGCATGTCCTTCCCAACCACCTTCCGGAGCACAGCTCGGATGTGGTACTCAGGGCTGGCCATAGGCTCCATTAAAAGTTGGAACTAGTTCGCAGGCCTATCTACTACACACTTTGCTACAAGTTAGCGATGCCTGAAATCCGCAACTTGCTTGCTCAATGTTGTCCAACGACCTAACGAGAAGCTCCAGGACTACATCAAATGGTTCAACTTGGAGCGACTTCAGATTCCCAACCTTGACCCAGCCATCTAGCTCATCGTAGCGGTCAATGGCATTCGACACCCCAACTTGTGTTGAAAGGTTGAGTTAAACCCTCCTACCACTATGGAGGAGTTCCTCAACCAAGCGACCAAGTTTACGAAGGCCAAGGAAGAGCTTGGATCCCGATTGGAACTGAGCAGCAAATGGAAGAGGTTGTTAGATGAGTTGGGGAGCAACAAACAGCAACGAAAGAGCAAGTCACCAAGGTGCAGTAGGTCCCCTCGCAACTGTCGTAGCAGGTCATTGCGGAGAAGAAGCATGTCTTCGTATAAAAGCAGTAGATCCTGGGGTCAGCGTTCTCACACTCCCCCTATCTAGAACTGTAACTGCACCACACTGTACACGAAGAGGGGGAAATTCTTATGCAGATCAAGATGGCCGAGTATGTCAGATGGCTACCTCGGATGAGAGGAGACCCCACTAATAGGAACCCTAACAAATATTGCCACTTTCATCGGGACATCGGCCACGACACTGAGAATTTCTGTAACCTCAAGGATGAGATTGAGGAGCTTATCTATCGAG